ACACAATGTGCGAAGAATTGGAAGCAGACTTGAGAAGAATGAGTAGCATTTGGAAACAAGTATAAATGATTGCTTATGACAGGGTTGGATGGAGAATTCTGGTGGGCGGCCCACGCTGTTTAGATGTAATCTTAAGGTTACTAGAAGATTATGAGGAAACCGAATCAACCATCCAATTAGAAGACTTATCAAAAGTAGTATTCACGAATAATCACTTATTCATATGCCTCCGAATGCCCTGGTACGGCCGAGAGTGGAGAGAGTCCGCTCTCCCTCTCCAAATGCTCTCACATGGCCACGCGTATATAGCCTCTACCAGGGAAGTCTTACTCACTGCCTTCTCGTAGTGGGGGTGTTGTTTACGAAAATGAGAGGACGAAAAGCGAATTTCCGGCATTTTAATCGGGTTGGTGGATATGGAGAGTCTACCTAGGGGAGTTGGAAAACCCTGATTCTAAACCAATGGTCCACATGAGCTGACTTCAGTATCCTGAAGGAACAAATGGCGTATGAACCAATTATTGGTGACCGGTTACCATGAGAATGCATCACCTGACATTGTCCCATTGTCTTGTGGATCAGACCTTCAGGTCAAAGGTTCGGGCAGTGGCCTCCTAAGAAAACCACTTACTTCGGTTCAGGCACCCGGACAGTATCACAGCCCTCACACATATCAAATGAGATTTGTGTGGCGCATATGTATTTGGTGTCTCCTTGTACCAATATCTATGTGTTCAAATAAATAATAATAAATAAAAACTCATGAATATGATAGTTTATTTTATTTTATTTTATAAATGATCTATTTACATAAAGAATCATATTTGTACAATTTCAATGAAATTAGATTCATAAACTAAGAAATTAAAAAAAGGAAGAGATTACAAAATATTGAAAGAAAGATTAATAGTTGAATTTATGAGTCAATTAAAATAACAAAAAGTCTGAAAGTATTGGATAACCATTTCGTCCTAATATGAGATTTCTTCAGTAGTGAACACTTATAATCTTACTCTCAAGATTAGAACTTAAAAACTTTCAGTCTCATCCATGAACATTTAATCTCTGATCGACTAAGCTAACACTGTTAAAACTCAACTAATCTAAAACTTTCAAATTTGAATCCTACAAATGAGATCATGAATGTGTACTGTTAAAGTATCACATAATAAAGATGAGATGATCATCCAATACTTTTACATTTTCAATAATGCTATTATCTTTAATTAACTCATTAATTCAACTATTAAAAAAAAAAATTACTATAATCTTCATAAAATCCACTTTTTTTATAAATAAAAACAGGAGATTCATTGAATAATCATATATTATTTAGTTCATAAACGATCGTGAATTGAATGATTGCTACTACTATTGTTATTATTATTATTATTATTATTATTATTATTAGTAGTAGTAGTAGTAGTAGTAGTAGTAGTAGTGGTAGTAATAGTATTAATAGGAGTAGTAATGTTAATAGTAATGGTTATAGTTACAGTGATAGTAATAGTAATAGTAGTAGTATTATTATTATTAGTAGTAGTAGTAGCAATAGTAATAGTAGTAGTAATGGTATTAGTAGTAGTAGTAGTAGTAGTAGTAGCACTAATAGTAATAGTAATAGTAGTATTAGTATTAGTAATAATAATAGTAATAGTATTGTTATTATTAATAATAATAAAGTAATAAAACTTGATTATTAACTAATAATTCATTATTTAATTGTTTTTTATCATAATATAAATTTTTTGAATCATATACTACTTTTAATTGAGATAAACTACTGATATCATAAAATATAGATTGAAATGGTATGATAGTATTTAAAGTTTGAAAACTAACTATAAAATAAATACGATAAATTGTATTAATATAATGACGATAGATAATCAATAAATTATAAGTTATTTTAGGGATATAACTAATTAATTGATTTTTATCACTAGGGGTATTTAATAATGTAATACTATATGATTTGTCTATAAATAATTTCCAATGATATAAACGTTGTTTACCATTATTGATTAAATTTATATTAATTGGCCAATAAGTATTATAATCTAAATAATTATCATATGACCATTTGATCAATTGGTGATTACCAGTAGTCTATATACACACAGAGAGAGTAAATGATAAAAAAAAAGAGAAAAGAAAAAAGAAACAAAACATCAAGTATCAACAAAGATGGACAATGTGTTTAATAGTGGAATCCAGGGGGTTAAGCATGTTTTCATCCTATTGATGACTCTTCAGCTAAATGTATCTATCATATCTTAGAGTTAATGTTTACTCCAAGACAAAATATTTAATATAAGCAAAGATCGATAGTGTGTCTAACAATGGAGTCTAGGATAAAGTGTGTGTTTCATCCTATTTACGACTCTTCAGCTAAATGTATCTATCATATCTTAGAGTTAATGTTTACTCCAAGACAAAATATTTAATATAAGCAAAGATCGATAGTGTGTCTAACAATGGAGTCTAGGATAAAGTGTGTGTTTCATCCTATTTACGACTCTTCAGCTAGATGTACTTATCATATCTTAGAGTTAATGTTTACTCTAAAGACTGGAATCTAGTAACCGTTCATTTCAAATGATATTGCATTATTCATTCACCTATTAAGTCTTGATAGCCACTTGTTTGTGTAATGGGATGCATTTTAAATTCATTTGATTGATTAATTATAGTCTTAAATATCAATGGGAAGATACAAGCAAAATAATATCAAGAGAATATCTAGTATATTTATAAAACAATTAAATATTAATGAAAGCGCATATACGCCACACAAATCTCATTTGATATGTGTAAGGGCTGTGATACTGTCCGGGTGCCAAAACCGGAGCAGATGGTTTTCTCAAGGGGCCACAATCGGAGTCTTTGACCTAAAGGTCTGATCCACAAGGCAGTGGAGCAACGTAAGTAGATGTGGTCTCATGGAAGCTGGTGACCAACAATTGGTTCATACGCGATTTGTTCCTTCAAGACACTGGAGCCAGCCCATATGCACCATTGGTTTGAAATCAGGGTTTTCCAACTTCCCTAGGTGGACTCTCCATGTCCACCAACCTCGTTAAAGCGCTGGACATTCGTTTTTCGTCCTCTCAATTTCGTAAGCAACATTAATGTCACGAGAAGGCAATGAGTAGGACTTCCCTGACAGAGGCTATATACGCGTAGCCATGTGAGAGCATTTCGAGAGAGAGCGAAGACTCTCCCCACTCTCGGCCGTACCAGGGCATTTGGGGCAGAGAGAGTTGAAAAACATTGATAACAAATCAATTAGTGTACATAGTGTTTAGAATCCTGAAGTAAAAAAGATGACGTATGAATCTATTGTTGGTGATTGAATCTCTTGACATTACTTCATTGATTTGTAGATTAGACTATCAGCTCAAAGGCTCTGGGTGACCACAGTATGATTTGTATGGAAATACAGTCTGAGACGATTGATTGATATTTTGCTAATGAAGTATTTACTGTATGGTTCTCAGATTTTACTAAGAGAATGTGTAATTATTTTGCTAAAATATATTTTATTATCCCTAGTTGTGTTCTCGTTCACTACAGTATATCTTAGTCTTTTATTCCAATACACTAAGTTTTAATTTATAGCGCATCAACAGAATATATTCACGGACAACTGTTTCACATGAGAATAGTGGGTATAAAACTTACTCCCTATATTTATTGTTACTTGAGATTCGTCAAAAAGAATACCACTACAGTTATTAAGGAAACTGATGTTTTCTGGAGGACTTCAAACCACTCATGTGTTTAGGCTTATAAAAATTGAACTATTCATAATGCAACTAGAAGCCTTCAGGAATAGGTAGTGAATATTTTTTATAATTATCTAACCTTATAGTACTGATCAAATTCTACTAATCATTATAAATATCTCATTCTCGAAGAAAGTTACTCCCAGCCCGGAAGTTCACCAGTTATGCCTTAGTATATAAAGCTTCTTGATCCACAGTTTGAATGCAATAGGAATTATCAGTTCCTCCAAGGTTTTAATATGCCTTTTCAATAGGGTACGACTAGCCTGACAAATACTCCCAAACCATGAAATCTCTAAACGTTATCCACACGAAGTTAAGTCACTTCAGCTAGTGATCACTTTGTAAATTGACTCAACTAACTTATATCAATATATAGGATTAAACTAACATGACGTTAACCATTACTGAATATTCTATCAATTCCATTAGAAGATGAAGTACGTGATATTACGCAACATATGCTCACTAGTGACGGTCTCCAAGAAGTATATCCTAGAGTTCTAGTGAGAAGCAGTGACCAATGGAGTTCAACCAGGTCTGTTATGAGATAGTAACTGTTGGGGACGATAGATCCCCAAAACCCATATTTTGTAATTTCATCTTATTGATTAACTTATCGATTAAATGTGCAAACAGGTCAATCGATGAACTTATCGATTAAATATTTGAATAGCAGTCAATTGACGAACTAATTGATTAATGTTTAAAAATCTTCCATGACAATATCGATTATAAATATTTGTAAAAATACGATTGACTTGTGTGCCTGTTTCACTTGATTGATCTGATCTGATCTGACCTGACTCAGTATCTGCTGTTTGCCTATAGAATACACTTTATACATCTTACCCAGACTTCTTGATCGAGTTATCTGAGTCGGGGACAACGGACCAGAATAGCCTATCGAGATTTTGAATCCCTTGATCTGATCGATAAGTCACTGCCCTCTAATCGGCGGCCTTTTGAGATATAACAGTAACTCACTGAACATAATGGTGAATGTGTCGCTCAAATTCATGGATTATTTAAAGTTAGACATTAACATCATTGAATGCTGTCCGTCTCAGTGGTCTAGTGGTTAAGCGCTCGCACGCGAGACTGATAGGTCCTAGGGTTCAAATCTCGCGTGGGGTGGGATCGTGGATGCGCACTGCTGAGGAGTCCCATAGTAGAATGAAACAGTCCTCCAGTGCTTCAAGTTTTTCCATGGTGGTCTAACTTCAATTGACTCATAATCTCAACTATGAAAAATAGGTGACAATTCTATTCCCTATAAAGTCAAAAAAACAAACAAACCATTGACTTACCAAATCAACTTCTTGTCCAGCTAACATTAAATAACTACCTGGTAGAAAATATGCTAATTTTTGAATAGTTTCAAAATCTTTATTATCTTCACTTAATTGATGAACTAACCAGATTGGACTACATTTTCTTAATTGTGTATTATTCATAGCTTCATAAAATAAAATAAAAAGTGGAAAGACAAATTACGTAATATGTAATGAAGAAGATGAACTGGTCAATGAGAATTCTAATCTTTATTGACTTAGTTGATTAGGGTAAATGTTCACTTTTACTCACCCATGTCTATTTCGTTAGTGAATGTTTATTGGTATAGAAATAAGTTGGAATAAAGCTAAGATTCACTTGGTATCTTCCCATTGAGGTTTAAGACTGCAATTGATCAGTCTATTATCGGCATATGTACATATTGTGCGTATGCCTCGATATTGCTTTAATTCACAACCATTTTGTAGGCAATGATGGATAGTAGCTAGCAGTGGAATCCAGGAAGCGCGTTTCGTCCGATTTGAGACTCGTCAGTTGGATGGGAAGATACAAGCTAAACAATACCAAGTGAATTTAAATTCACTCCATTGAACAAGCAAGTGGCTATCAGGACTCAACAGCTGAGTGGATATTGCGGTTGCGTTTGAAGCGAATGGTACTGGGTTCGAGTCCAAGAGTGAACATCAACTCTGGGATGCAGGCACAATCAGCTGACGAGTCCCAAATAGGACGAAACGCGCGTCCTCGATTCCACTGCTAGCCACTATCCATCATTGCTTACAAAAAGCTAAGATTGACCAAATGAATATACAGGGTCAGTATGTGAAGTTAATGACTGCTGAACTGAACCATATTAGTATATACAAGCTACAAAGTTGAAATTATTGAAACCAATGGTTGGAGACACTGGGTGACATGGATCAGAATTGATGCAGATTCATTTAATCCTTTCACTTTAAATACTGACTAATACTTTTTATTCTTCCTTCTCGAAACATTGTCTCTATTTAATGGTTTCTTCTAACACTAATATTGTTACTACTTTCGAGACTCGGATATCTGTTCTAATAATTTCATTTCACTGTTTCAATGTTGTATGGTAAGTTGACTTAATGCTCATAAATATCAGATTCTGCGTTTTATGTGACTAACTGATTGATTTCAGGTAGGAGCGTTAGTTAATTAATAAAAAGTTAGACATTAACACCGTTGAATGCCATCCAACTCAGTGGTCTAGAGGTTAAGCGTTCGTGCGTGAAACCGATAAGTCCTGGGTTTGAATCCCGTGTGGTAAGGTCGTGGATGCTCACTTTTGAGGGATCCCATAATAGAACGGAACGGTTCTGGTTGTCCAGTGCTTCCAAGTTTTTCATAGTGGTCTTGCTTTAATTGACGCATGATATCAACTATTAAAAAACTAGTCAGGATTTGTTCAATAATACAATGCGTCGTATTCAATCAGGCAATCACATTATTATGATAGATAGATCCTATAAAATGAAGTTATGAATTAAAATTGGATAAAAATTAAAAATCTTGAAAAACGTAGTAACTAAGATGAAGAGAGTAATAATAAATTAAGAGAATATAAAAAACTTCTGTACATGTGTTTGAAGTTTATTAATCTGTATTCTAGTAGCTACTAATGTATGTAAGAGCTGGACTCTAGGGACATAGAGAAAGTTTATTGCCATTTCATGGATAACTTTCATCGTTGAACTAACTGGTATCAGCTAAATTCCCCAAGATAGAGTTTCTTCTTATTTTATTTTGACTCTTGGTTAACAATATAGAAGTTTTTCTTAAATACAATATATTTGTTTTAGATATACATAACGTGATCCTCAAGAGTAGTTAAATTGGTTCTTTTGAATGCTCTACAGATAAAGATGGATAGTGGCTAGTACTGAAATTCAAGACAAAGCTCATTTCGTCCTATTTGGTACTATTCAGCTGGATGTACCTGCATCTTAGAGTTGATGTTCATTCTAGGACTCGAACCTAGCTTCAAACGCCATCGTGTTATCCACTTAACTACTGAGTCATGATAGCCACTTGATTGTACAATAAGGTGAAGTTTAAATTTACTTGTTTATCAGGACTTGGTAGCTAAGTGAATAACATAATGGCGTTTAAAGCGAACGGTACAGGGTTCGAGTCGTGGAGTGAACATCAACTCGGAGATGCAGGTACATTAATCTTTACTTATAATTCTTGTGATTTAAGACAATATCGAGGCAATATCCACAGTATTCACATATGCCAATAACAGACTGATTAATTGCAGTCCTAAATGTGAACGGGAAGATTCAAGTAAACAATACCAAATAAAATTATTCTAATATAAAACTAAATTACCTTGTCGAATTTGTGAATCTATGTCATCACTTCTTGTTGGTACACGAATATTTATTGTAAGTGTATGTAAACAAACTTTCTGTTCCATATTTACCATGGCATCAATTTTTGGTTCATCAGCAAACCATATGAATTCATCTGAAAGAAGTGAGATATGAAAAACATAACTAAAGTTGATAGATGAAGCATTTTGTAAGATCATGAAATGATTGAACTTAGACACCAACTATGTTTAATGGTGGATCAGTGGTCTGGAGTTTAAATCTTCGAGTACAGGACCAAAGGTTCTGGGTTTCAGCTACAAGTGAGAGATTGTGGATTTGCACTATAGTGAAGTTCCATACTACATTGAAGTGGCTATGCAGTGCTCTCAAGTTTTTAATGATGGTCGAACTTCGATTGACTGGTCCTTTCAACTGTGAAAATATATGTTATTAATGTAAAGTTATGATGAAAAAATCTATTTGATTAGAAATATTTCGTTCGCCTTATTCATCTTGATTTGCCAGATTATTGAATGGGGAATCCCGTTCAAGATTGATTGGTTACATTACATTCAACACATATAAAGTCAGAAGAAATAAATTAAGGGGGGAGGTGTTCCACTTGATGTATCAACTACTATTATACGATCTACTATTCTTAAGATGTTCTCAATTTATTAGTCACAGTCTCTCACAATCACAGTCACTTCTGGCTTGGATTTGTATAGTTCTTATTTTCTATGTTATGGAATGATGCGGTTTGATTTGCTTGTATATAGACCAAGTATATCTGAACTACACGGATCATATAGCGGAGGCTGATATTAGTGTTCTGTATTGAACCGCCTGAATTAGGTGAGAAGCTATTATCTCAAAGATCTAATAAGAAATCAGAGTTGACTCCAGGATGCTCGTAATGGTTTATGCGTCATTCATCTAGTCAGTAACTTGGTGTTCCAATTGGCGGTAATATCGTGTGATATATTCTCACGGTATAAGGACATAACAGGTTACATCACATTCAATACATATAAAGTTAAAAGAAATAAATTTAGGTGATAATAGGCATATTTAAGTAATGAATCACCACTGAATAAGTAATTGTCAAATCCTATTTATGTAGCACAAATATTGACAAATTCTGATACTTTAACTAATGAAATATGAAAATAGATCATAGAATTGCAAATGTTTTTTAAACAAGGCTATAATTAATGGAAGACCCGATCAGGTATAAGATAACAGGTCTCGGAATTTGGTGCGAAATTGGCATTTTAGATGATCAGTATAGGGGGCGAGACTAATTTATGGACGAGACAATCAGAAGTGTTTGCGAGATTTCAAGGTCACAGAGCAATTTCAGTACCTGGTGCTCATGTACGATCGGTTTACAACGGATTTTAGGGACGACGTGATAATTGAGCGGCTACAACAGATGAGACTACTAAGAAGTTCCTTTATTTGTGAGTGCGGTAATCAAATGGAACAGTAGTACGGATGCGGAAATTTAAAAGAGGACGTAATATTAGGGAAGATTGGGTAAGTAGCACTTCCTTAAGTATACCTCACAGGTACTTGGAATTTATGACAGATCAACGCAAAAAAGAAATTTTCAAACGGTCAGAAACCGGCAAGCAACCACAATAATACCAATTATACAGGAATACGTGCAGCCGGGCACTACGATATATACAGATGATTGGAGAGCGTATAGATGCCTACAGAGACTTGAGTATGTGCATCATGTCGTTGTGCACAAGCGCCATTTTGTCGACCTTACAACTGGCGTTCACACTAATAATATTGAAGCCATGTGGTCCAGGCTCCAGAGGTCGACTATTATGAAGCCATACGGAATAGTTCTTATACCATATGCACTACGATTTCAGAACCTCTTCCAAACTCTGATAAGTTTTCGAATCATGTAAGAGAAGAATATCCATTTTAATTGTTTAGTCTTTTATAATATTTTTCTTCATACTAACTGTCTTCTGATTGGCTAATATTTCTCAAGGTCACTTAAGATTCGTTCATTCAACAGTGTTAATGTCTAACCTCAACCAATCCACGGAATTGCGCGACCATCTTCCATTGTACTGATGAAGTAGATACCTGTCTCTACTCGACACGGATTAGCTCGATTGGTCACGGCTTCTCACTAGAACTCCGAGAATTCTCTCACGAAGCTAGTCACTAGTGAGAACACGTGTTCCGATCCCGCGAGTGAGATCGTAGATGCTCACTATTGAGGAGTCCCACAATAGGACGAAACTACCGTCTAATGCTTCCAGGTTTTCTATGGTGGTCTAACATCAATCGGTTCATGATCTCAATCAAAAATTTTTAGATTATGTCACTTCGTAACGAAAACTCTTAATCTAATTCCTAACCCTACGTATCAACTGTAAATCGTAATTCTGATTCCTCGTACTGGTTTATAACCTTTATTTGGTCTTAGTTATTGAATGGACAATCTCATGGTCACTACACTAGCGTCGCTCAAAAGTCGTTCATAAATTATAGTCTCAACTTCTTTTCTTCTTATATCAGTTCAATGATAAAATTAAAATTCTTATCTGTTGTTACGTAAAGATCTGAACATTCCGTTAAAAATATGCACAGTCTTTATCAATGACTTTATTTAAGTATTGTCTCAATCGTCTAAAGATTCATTAATTGTCAAGAAGTAGAATAGTTCTAAGTCTAATCATATGTGGAGTTACAGGCACTCTCAAGTAAAGAATATCAATCTAGAATAAACAGATGTGATGTGTATAGCAGTTCATAATGAAATTCAATTTCGTATTGTTAATGAAAATACTTCAGGAAGAAGCGCTGGAAGTAGATTGGACACACATTGAGGAAAGCACTTAACTGAGTCACATGTCAAGCCATCACATGGAATCCTCAAGGCTAAATAAAGGAGAAGAAGACCAAAAAACACACTACACCGAGAAATGGAGAGAGATATGAGAAAAATGGACAATTGGATAGAACTAGAAAGGAAAGCCTAGGACAGAGTGAGTTGGAGAATTCTGGTCGGCGTTCTATGCTCGATTGGAACTAACAGGCGTAAGTAAGTAATGAAAATACTTATTACTTTTAGTTAGAAGAGAGTATTACAACTGATTATCCAAAAGCTATTACCTCAATAATAATGAAATAGTAAAATATGAAAAAAAAATTATACGTTCTCTACGACCCGATGGAATTCTCTGTCAATACTTCATTGACATCACAGTCAATATTTTCACTATAGGAAATGAACAGTTGTCTATGCAAGATACTCAATATTCGTCAGCCAGATACCATGGGCAACAACCTACTATGGGAGAGAACAAACCAGCATCCATCTGAATAGAAAAGTTGGAAAAGGTGTTAGAAGTGGATAGGATATACAAATCGTATCACGAAATAAGCGCTAACTTAGGATCCTGAAGAGAAACGGAAATGAAGAAGGCCAAAGAACACACTACTTCGGGAATTGGAAGCATGAATATCAATGAGAAACAATCTGAAAGGATTTCCCATAACAGGATTAGATGGAGAATGATAGTGGTCGGCTTATGCTCCTCCTGGAAGGGTAACAGGCGTAAGTAAGTAAGGAAATGAATTAAAGTCGCCTGCTTATTCAAATTTTAGAAGAAAAAAAAGACTTACCATCAGTGTCTGTGTTTAAAATTTTTCTAATACCGGGAACCATTTCTTCAAGTAAATTACTTGAATTCATTATCATAACACCTTTAATTTCAAGTTTTTGTTTCCAAAATTTAATAACTTCAATCATTTTCACTTGTACCTATAATTAATATTCAAGAAAAGGTTGTTTAAAATATTAAAAACAATGTAATACTATTTGTTAGCGGGACATAGACTAGACTAAAGCATGCTCAATGCATGATTGCTTTGGTGCACGCTGATTGGCTAATTCATATCCAGTCAGCGCTAGTCGATAGTTGGAGAATATTCTGGATTTTTCTTATGTAAAAACTATAAATATACCGACGTTTTTCCCTATTGTGCTTCTTACTGGCTTCTGACTTGCTATTTGGAATATAATCTTTTTCCTGTTCAACCGTGTTCTGATTTGGGGACTTGTCGAGTGATTCGGTGTCCGAGAATACTAAGCAATAGGAATAGCTGGGTCAAGAACCGTAAGAAAATAGAATTATAACAGTGGCGACGGGGAAAAACTAAAGAAAAATGGCGATTTCTTTAGAACAGTTGCGGTTAATATTACAGCACCAGCAGAAGTTGTTAGCCTTGCAACAACAACTATTGAACACACTTTTCACTCGACCAGAAAATAAGAAATCTGTTTATGATGCAGTAACAGACATTTCAGAAGCATATCTAGTGGAGGGTTCAAATCCCTTTATACCTGAATCAGAACGTAATATTTGTAACGTGTCCGGCTCACAGCAAGAAAATACTGTGCTGAATGCACATGAAGTTGTGACAATACCAGATGATCAGGAGCCAGGTCCTGTAGATGAAGCCCGGAGTCCAGAATCAAATGAAACACTACTGGTACTGTCTAGCTGCGAAAATAAACGTCAGCTCGAACAAAATTGTGGTCCACGTGCTATTAGTCGAGAAAGCTATGGTGACTCGTATTCAGAAAATAACTGGAGCAACACGATGAACCAAATTGTACCAGATGTTACTCAAAATCACCGGAAGACAGAATTTTATATTAAGTCAACTTATCCCATTTCTAATGACAGTGTACCAGATATTGATTCTCAGAATAATGCATATGATTTTGATGAACCTTCTTATAACAATGAGGGAAATATGTCAGCTGAGTCGAATGATGGCCAAAAATCTAATCTAATTCTGTTAGACGTTGACTTTCTTAATGACTCGTTATCTGCTAACGAGATTCATAATGAATTTGAAAATAATGAACTCAGATCAAAGGTTGTTCATCATCATCTAGTCATTTTTAGTGGATTCTCCAGTCAATACGAGAAACATGGTTTAAATAAAGTCCTACTAGTTATAATTTGGAGCCATAAGGACCCAACATTATTTCGAGGAGGAGGAGAATGTTGGAAAATTAAAAGTTATGCATACTTTTTTTTTTTAAGAAAAATCAAAACGCCGGGAACAGACATGTCAGTCTCTGTGCAAGGAAAAAGTGAGAATTCTTCATTGTCTAGACGATGGACTAATCGAAAGCACAAGCCAGTCACTCAGTTGCAGTTGGACCCTAGCACCAGATCCTACGAATCTGCTCAGAGGGGAGGTGTTAGCGGGACATAGACTAGACTAAAGCATGCTCAATGCATGATTGCTTTGGTGCACGCTGATTGGCTAATTCTTATCCAATCAGCGCTAGTCGATAGTTGGAGAATATTCTGGATTCTTCTTATGTAAAAACTATAAATATACCGACGTTTTTCCCTATTGTGCTTCTTACTGGCTTCTGACTTGCTATTGGAACTATTGTTAAGTGTCGATTAGTGAATCAGTTAATAGATCGATGGTACTGGGTTCGAGTACTAGCTGGAGTGAACATCAACTATGTGATGCAGGTACATCCAGTTGACGAGTCTCAAATGGGACGAAACGCTCGTCTAACTGGATTCCACAACTAGACATCATACATCTTTGCTTATAATTGCATTTTGTATGGAACTTCTCTATCAACCGTCCATCTAATTTCAACGTGTGAATTAATAAAAATCAAGGAAGAATCTGCATTTCAATAAGTAACACTCACTAAATGGACAGAAAATAATCAAATGTATCAGAGACAATACATTTAGTAAACACTAAAAACTTTACCGAAAACGTTAATCAGTTGTCTAAGACTTCATTGTTTCTTCATTTCCATACTAATCACTTTCTGTTCTCTTCTCTTCGATTTTTTTCAAAGTGCTACCAGACATTTCACTTTTGATTGGTGATACATACTACTTATATCTATTAATATCATTAGCACACACCACACTAGTATTGATGAATAACTGTAATATTTACTTAATTAAGGTCACCACTCACATATTCAATATCTGAGTCACCTTTTTATGCAAACATACTATGCAAACATGCTATTCAGTAAATACAACTGCCTACTCAATGTGATTTATTATAGTTAGGGTAGTCAGAAATTAGAATGATTTAGACACCATAGAAAACTATAAACAGAATCAGTTAAAATAACTGATGTTTGAAAAAAAATTGTTGAGTATTGTCTACACCTCATCATTATGTAATCTTCTATATTTCAATAGTTGAGATGATGAGTCAATTAAACTTAAACCACCATGGAAAACCTGGAAGCACTGGACGGCCGTTTTGTCATAGTACGGGACTCCTTGGTAGTACTCATCCACGACCCTGCCCCTCAGGATTCGAATCTAAGACCTATCAGTCTCATGATCTCAACTATTGAAATTACTATAATCTCCACAACTATTGGAGGGAAACACGTCTTTCATATGTATATTGTATCAGTTATTTCGAGAACTTCTAACAAACTCAATATCTATAAATGATATTAATCATTGATACTATTGAGGAAATAAAATTCTATCCCTACTTTTCACCAGTGATACAAATCTCTCAAAGTACATAAAACTCCAAAGTCAAATTTTACTAGAATCTATCGATCTATTCTTGACGACATACTTCCAATTCAATGACAAAATCTATAAACAAACGAAGGAGACACCGATGGGATTATCAATATCAAGACTTATTGCAGAAACAGTGATGCAGGAACTGAAAACTTTGATCATATCAGTGATCAAGTCAAAAATTTGGATTCATTATGTTAACGGCACATTTGTCCTCATCAAAAAGTACAAGTTGCAAAACATCTACAATTTGATCAACAACATCTTCAATGACATAAAATTCATAATAAAAAAAGGAGTCAAACAACAAACTATCATTTTTAAATGTACTAATCACCAGAACGGACACAAGAAAATTGGAGACTCAGGTTTACCGGAAACCGAACCACATAGATCAAATGCTTAATTATAGTGGTAACAACCCAAGAACTCACAAAATCAACTGCGTACAACTTTTATTCAAGAGGGTGAGAATACACTGAAGTACACTTGCAGCTCAAAGAAATGAAGAGAAATATCCAAAGACTATCTTCCAAAAGAACAGCTACCCAATCAACTTCATCAAAAAGAATCAACCCAACTCATCCCCAGAAACAAAATCATGTACAATAACCAACAAACGGATCATTCTAACACATATAAAAGATATATCAGAAATTACAACGAGATTATTGAAGCCGTTTGAAATAGATGTAGCATATAAAGCAGTAAAATCACTTCAAACAATCCCATACAAACCAAAAGACGACATCACGAAAGGAGAAAACCAAACATCATCTACGAAATAAACCAAGAATCAAATCAAAATGAGATACAATCAAAATAGAGAAGTAGACAATTCCAGGTTAAATGTCAACAATAACCAATCAAGCTCAAAGTCAACAGGACAAACTGTAATAAATTTGAACACTCCATCTCTACTTGAAGTTTGTGCTGATGATATTTTTCAGAAGAACAGTAAGAACTTCACTACCAAGCCATTCAGTTCAGAAAACAATACTCCACCTAAACTATTGGAAACCAGGAAACACTAGAATCTTGAAGAGTACATGTCGTGAATCGGATACCATAACCTTATAGCACGTAGCAAATGCTTAAATACTGGTTTAATGTCCAGTGGCTTACACTTCAATAATAATATGATCATACAGTTTCATTGGTAACGGCTGCTCTAATGGGAAGCTGTGACTACTGGGAAAAAGCAAGTTAATCTAAATATAATAAAAAAACCCGGATAAGTTCCAACTACTTAGTCCTAGAAACCGTCTTGATATAGTAACTCAAAAATATGATCTAAAAAAGTTACTTCTACATTTAACTTCTAACTAAAGTTGATGTTTATTCCGGGACTCGAAATGGATAACGCGATAGCGTTTGAAGCGAACTGCACTGGATTCGAGTGCTGGAGTGAACATCAACTCTGAGATGCAAGTACATCTCGCTGACGAGTCCCAAATAGGACTAAACGCGCTTTGTCCTTTATTCCACTGATAGCCATCAACCACCTTTGCTTATAATGTTTACGACTTGAAGCAATATCGAGGCAATCCGCAGAGGATGCACATATGCTAACAAGAAACTGATCAATTGCGGTCCTAAACAATAATGGGAAGATACAAGCAAACAATGCCAAGTGAATTTGACCATCTATACCTTTGTAAGAGCTAAGTGTGATGAGATGTAGATTATTTTCTCTAGTGGGTACTTGTTTCGTGGATGTAGTAAGGAGAAATAACCTCTTTGAAGCAACTCACTCTGTGTCTATCATTTTATTTGTTCTTGTGAATGAATTTATATGGGTGATAAAAACTATGCTTCTTTGAAACACAAACATTATTCTGCCTGATCATAGAAAATATTTTTTTATATAATATACCTTTGTGGGCCAGGGTCATTTTACATTCGTTTTCAGGAGAACCAGAAACCATCCAGACTTTCACGTGACAACCCTAGCAGTACAGCTCAATTCCGTTTCACAGGAGAACCAGACACCGTATAAGCTTTAACGCTACGATCTGGATAGTACAGCTCAATCCTGTGGCACAACCACACAGGTACCAAGCACCCTGGTGGACCATTCGCAGCATTCATATACACATTCACGTCACATGTATAGTTATTCCGATCAATGAGATTAAGAATCTTCATCAACTGATCCAGTTAAGAAATGGTTTAAATATGTCTAACCATCGTCTACCTCAACGTTGTGGTAGTTTAAAAGTAATTTAAAGACGACTGAACCAAAAACGTATCTCAATCCATAAAGTTATCGATTTTTGGACTTAGTCATAATGATTGGTGTAAATTGCCTGATTAGATCAATGTTTGGAGTAGCTGAGTGACATTACTCATGATTAGTTACTATGGAGCAGATACCTTTCTATATCGTAAATTTCAGAATTCCTTTCTACATATCTTGGTACTACCATTTCGGACTATATCTTCGATGTTTATTCTTTCTCATTATAATTAGTATTATGAATACTTTGATACCCTAATTAATCATCTTAAGTTTATCTGTTTGTGTGAAAGTCAGGGCTAACGCACAGTTGTATCAGGTTCTACATTGATTATGACTGACTGATACTCCTTGTTGGTAAAATTGTTGAAAAGAAAAAGTTTCTTTTTAACTTCAATCATTATTATTTATGCATGAATAAACTTCTATGATTGTTGTTAAATATGAATGTCAAATACTGCTAAATCAATATCATATTGTGAGACAGTAACTCACTTATGACAATGGTGGATGTGTCATTCAGAATCGTGGATTGGATGAAGTTGGACATTAATAACGTTGGATGCCGGCTCAGTGGTCTATTGGGTACGCGCTAGACCGATAGGTCCTAAGTTCGAATCCCGCAGAGCGGGACCGTGGGTGCGCACTGCTGAGGAATCCCACGATAGGACAAAACGGCCGTCCAGTGCTTCCATGTTTTCCACAGTGGTCTAGCTTCAATTGACTCATGATTTCAACCATTGAAATAAAATAAAAAGTTGTAAAAATAGGAAGTACTATAACTTACATTAGGATTACTTAAATTCAATAATGGACTATTTGGATTACCATGTACATGTCGATAGTATGCACGACGAATAGAATCATAGGCATAATGTCGTTTTTGCTGATCAGTTAAAGGCTAAAAACAATAAGCATTACATGTTAATCATATCTATTAGTAAACTGAAAACAATAACAGTTCAATGATCTTATTCAATACTTTACAATGAACAGTTTATGAAATAATAGACAAATAATAAACTAAGTAATCATCGGCCATTTAGGCAGTCAGTCACCTTCAAAGTAGAACCAAGCACATATACACATCGGTCCTAATTGCCATACCTCATTAGCGCAGCAAGATGAACACCGAATTCATAAAGTAGTTAATTCAATGGTGGTAATACATAAAGGAAAGATCGCATAGTACAGGTCGAAAGAATTAATTCGTAGAAAGAAAGATATCAAGCGATTTTAATCTCATAGTTTATGAGAAGACAGAGAGTGTAAACACCGACGCCATTGTGATTGATTCTGAACCATGTCACTTAGAGTCTCCAACCATTGGTTACGACAGCCGCGTGGACCGCAAACAAGTAGTCTGCACCTACCGACATGGATCAGAATAGATGTTAATGACTTCAAGCACTGATGCTGGACAAGATCCCGTCATATCAGGAAGAAATCAAAGAAAAAAGATAGAAATAAGTTTGGAAAACTAGGAATAAACTCTTCTCCATTGAAGTTTAGATTTGCTCTATTGGTTAATTTGATCTTGTAACTTATTTTCTAAAAAAAATATAGTTGAGAACATAAAACCTGCTATAAAAGACTACTATAACCGATTGATCTTTTATTCTGGTAGGGAAAATCTCAAACGATGAACATTTAGTTTAGAACTTGGATCTAATTACTTGTTAACTGATACTTCCACTTGATGTTGAATTTATCAACTAACTATTGAAAGATTTTTTTCTGGTTAGTGTATGAGAACTACAGAGACATCACTCTTCTCTCAATACCAGGAAAAGTATTGAACAGGATAGTGTTAAACAGAATGAAGGACTCCGTAGACGCCCAACTTTGAGACCAACAAGCTGGATTCCGTAAGGATAGATCGTGTACAGACCAAATCGCAACTCTACGGATCATTGTAGAACAATCAATTGAATAGAATACATCATTCTACATCAACTCCATTGACTACGAAAAAGCGTTTGATAGCGTGAACAGAACAACACTATGGAAACTTCTTCAACACTACGGTGTGTCTCAGAAGATAGTCAATATAATACAGAATTTCTATGATGGATTAAACTGCAAAATCGTGCATGTAGGACAGTTTACAGACTCGTTCGAGGTAAAGACCATTGTCTTGCAAGGCTGCTTACTCTCATCCTTTCTCTTTCTCCTGGTGATGGACTGGATCATGAAAACGTCAACATTTGGGGGGAAGTATGGGATACAGTGGACAGCTAGAATGCAGCTGGACAATCTAGAATTCGCAGATGATCTGGCTCTTCTATCACAATCGCAACAACAAATGCAGGAGAAGACGACCATTGTAGCAGCAACCTCAGCAGCAGTAGGTCTCAACATACACAAAGCGAAAAGAAAGATTCCCCGATACAACACAACATGCAACAATCGAATTACACCTGACGGAGAAGATTTGGAAGATGTAAAAACCTTTACATACCTAGGCAGCATCAGTGATGAATACGGTGGACCTGATGCAGATGTGAAGGTGCAAATCGGTAAAGCAAGAGTAGCATATCTAAAACCGAAGAAAATCTGGAACTCAACATAACTTTCAACCAACATTAAGGTCGGAATTTTCAATGCAAATGTCAAGACAGCTCTACTGTATGAGGTGGGAACTTGGAGAACTGCAAATGTCATCATACAAAAGATATAAGTATTTATTATCAGTGGTCTATGCAAAATACTTCGGATCCATTGATCAGACATTATCAGTAATAACCTACTGTAGGGGAGAACAAACCAGATCCCAGTGGAGGAAGAAATCAGGAAGAAGCACTGGAAGTGGATGGGACACACATTGAGGAAAGCATAGGACAAGCCCTCACATGGAATCCTCAAGGTCAAAGGAGAAGAGGAAGACCAAATCACACATTATGCCCAGAAACGGATAGAGACATGAGAAGAATGAACAACAATTAGACAGAACTAAGAAGAAAGGCCCAGGACAGAGTGGGTTAGAAAATGCTGGTCGGCGGCCTATGCTCCACTGAGGATAATAGGCATAAGTAAGTAAGCAAGTAAGTATCAAAAGATGTTTAACTCTGGAACGAGAATTATTCAATCTATATCAATCAAGAAAACAGTAAATGAATAAGTTGACATCTACCATCCTACTCTATTTTATGAAGGTTTATTAACATACCCTCTTTAACTAATCTTGTTCCTGAGTCAAAACAAAACAGTTGAGCTATAACTTAAATTATTTATAGATCATGGTTAAGACTAAACCTTTTTAGGTTCTCAGTTTCCACTTTTAACTAATCAAAAAATAAACAAATAATAATCGTGGGTGCGCATTGCTGAGGAGTCCCACAATAAGACAAAACGACCGTCTACTGCTTACAAGTTTTTCATGGTGGTCTAGCTTTAATTGACTCATGATCTCAATTATTAAACTTACTATAATATCCACAAAAACCCCTTCAGATATTAATCAAAATATTCTCACTAGTGACTGGTTTTAAGACGTATTTCTTGAAGTTCTAGTGAAAAGCAATGACCAGTGGAGTTCAACCGGATCTGTTTTAAGATAGTAACTCACTCAAGACAATCATAAATGGTAGCGCAATTTCATGGATTAGTTCAAGTTACACATTAACATCGTTGAATACCAGCTCAATAGTCTAAAGGTTAAGCATTCGTGCACAAGATCAATAGGTCCTATCTTCGAATCTCATGAGACAGAATCATAAATGCGCACTGTTGAGAAGGAGTTCCACAAAAGAACAAAACGATCATCTACTACTTCCACATTTTTCATGATGATCTAGTTTCAATTCATTTATAATTTTAATTATTCATAAATAACAAAAGAAAATACTACATTATACTTACTTCATTATTAGTCCATATATAAAATGTACTATAAACATTATTATTATTATTACTTGATTGACTTAAATGAAACCATTCATGTCTATTACTTGTTGTATAAATTGATAAACCAATTAAAATGGAGATTTTTTGTTGTTTCGATTTTTTTATTATTTGTGGTAAATAATGATTAAATCCTTCTTCAGTTGGATCAATCGATTGATTAATTGTTTCCCAATCAATAATACCATTATTATCAGAATTTAATAAATTTGTAAGTAATATACTTGTAACACCAACCTAAATCAAAGTTGAGGGGAGAGGGAGAGGGAGGGGTAGGGGAGGAAGGATATAGATCATTCATTTTTTTATTTAAAAAGAAATAATGTAAGTTAATAGAAATTATTTGTATTCTTTTCAAATAATAAATAGTTACTATGTGAAATATTCATCATAAGTATCTAGGATACAGGTATAATTTGAGTTCATTCAATGTAAGATCAACATGTACTTAAAAAATGTTTATTATTATAGGTAAATATAACTAGATTCACTTGATATTGTTCATTTGAATTTTCCCATTGATGTTTAAGACTTCAATTGATCAATCTCTTATTAGTATATGTTCATCCTATGAAGATTGCCTCGATATTGCTTTAATTTACAAGCAAAAATTGATGGTGTTTAGCAGTGGAATCTAGAGATTCGTTAGCTGAATGTACTTGCATCTCAGAGTTTATATTCACTCTAGAACTCGAACTTAGAACATTCATCTGATGGTTATTAGGATTCAGTATCTAATTAGATAAGGCGATAGTGTTTGAATCGAACGGTACTGAGATTGAGTCTCAGAATGAACATCAACTTGGAGATGCAGGTACATTGAGCTGACGAGTCTCAAATAACATGAAACACGAGTGTTAGATTCCAATGCTAGTCACTATCCATCTTTGCTTAGAAATATAACTAGGTATGAAAATGGATAATGATTAGATAGTAGATAGAAATAAAGTATTTAGAATAGTTTATCTTATACATACTACCTTTATTTGTTGGGGTTCAATTTCATCTTTTACATATAGTAGAAACTATAAGGTTTCGATCTAACAACCCAAGTCTTTGTATTTATCCTTTCCTTGTCTGAATAAGCCTAAGATGTTATCGTTTTCTATACCATTTTATTTGTTTATTTTCCCTTACTATGTTTTTTTTTTCAAATATAAGCTTTAATGTCTTATTACTTTGTATGTATCATAAAATGAAAGTAAAATGTTTGGTAGTAGAAGGTTGAAAAGATCGAAGAAAAGAGAATGAAAACAAAGAGTGATTGGTGTGAAGATGATGGGACAGTGAAGTCTAAGACAATTGATTCACATTTAATAAATGAACTATTTATTGTATAGTTCTCAGATTTTACCAAGATATTTTGTAATTTTATATTCAAATACATTCGGTTATTCCAGTTAGTGTGTTCTCGTTCACTACGCTAATACGTCTGTCATCATACAATAAATTTATACTTTGGTTAATTATGTTTATGTTATCCAATTCATTGTTATCGTGAATGCGCACTGCTGAAGAGCTCCATACTGGGACGAAATGGACGTCTATTGTTTCCAGGTTTTCCATAATGGTATAGCTTTAATCAATTCATGAAATCAACTATTAAATTACTATAAACTCCACAACCCCCCCCCCAATTCTGATAAGTAATATGTTTCATGATCTGAACACAATTTTCTCTTATTATTAATGATGTATCATTTGGTAGTTTATTAAACAGATCTAGTTTATAATCAATTCATATATAGATCAAATTGAAAGTTAAATTTTCATGAATGAACTCAAAATACAACTTATTATTCTAAAATCTTCTTCTTACAATTATCTAACTATTATCATACAAATTTCATGATAACCTTTAAGGACAGGCTCAAAATACACATATTCAATAAACTTAAGATGCACTAATCATAGTTATGTAGGGTAATACATGATCTTTTAGTTAAGAGAAACAAAAATCTAAAATTTCTATAAATTTAATTAAACAACTGAAATAAGGCAATCAGTCAGTCAATTGTTGCGTAGGACCAAGCATATATATATGCATCAGTTCAAGTTGTCAAATCTCATTAACACAACAAGATGAACACCAAATTCATAGAAGTAGTCACTACAACAGCTTCCATTTAAAGGGGGAAGAAACATATCTCTAACATCCTGTCATTGTTGTTCAGTGTTACCAAATGATTTACCCCAAACAGGACTATACCATCTGCATATTCTAAGTTAATAAGTGGACTATCTGGTAGGAGATCAATTTTTGAAAATTCAGTCGATGAGAACGTTAATTCTTAGTAGTAGGTCTATGATGAAATTAAAAAAGAATGAAGATAGTAGAAGGCTTTTCGGATGACAGTTCACCATAATCTCTGACTTGATTAGTAGTGTTCGAGTAAAGAGCCTACACAAGGTTTATTTAACTACTGAAATAAACTATCGATTGAACAAATACACTAACTGCTATATTGTCGTTTTTGATGAAACATAAAGAATACCTTTTAAGAAAAATGTAATACTATGTATACAGATAACATTTTAAAGAAAACCGTTGTTTTAGTCCGAATAAAGTATTTCAATTAGAAAAACTTGAAAACTGAAAAGAGAATTCAAGACTAGGATGAATGCTTATAAGTAAAGATGATTGTGATTACATATCAGTCCTACAAGAGGTCAGTCGCAGCCCGGATAGCTCAGTGGTGACGTCTCTGACTGTGAAGCTGGTTGACACGGGGTCAAATCCTACAAGGAGCACCAGTTCCCTCAAGGTTACAGGCACACCTTGCTGATGAGTGCGAAGTAGCACGAAACCCGGGTCCAGGGTTTCCTGTCGACTACCTCCAACCATCATCTAATCTTAAAGATGAATAGTGGCTAGCAGCGGAATATAGGACAAAGCACGTCTCGTCCTGTTTAGGACTCATCAACTGGATTTACCTGTATCCTAGAATTGATATTCAAGATATAAACAAATAACAATAAGTGAATTTAGGATGAATGTTGTTTGATTTTTTTGGTGTTTTTTAATCATTGATTTACCATTTAGATTATTTCAAGTTAAAAGAGATTGAGAGAAAAGTTAACTGTCTGTACTATTGAAATAAGATTTTGATCAAAGGGAATTATTTGCAAAGCTCAAATAGATCAATACAAGGATAATATTGTGATTATTAAATTTAATATTACACATTCTGTTAAGTCTGTTTTACATTTTCTATCCTTATTCACTCCACCTCGATTCTTTTGCGTATGACTTTATACTACTTAATAATATTCAGTAAGTAGTTTTGTTCTAGAAATTGTACTTGCATGTTGTAACTCAAGTTTACATATACTTATAATATTTATTGTCTTGATCATTATAATTACTTCATCTCCATCACTGTAGCAGTCATCCACAATTTTGTGCATGTGTTTAACCTTTGTTTAAACGTAAAGGTTTCCATATTGTTTGCTCTTGGTTCAATTTTTGCTTGTTGGTAAACTGTTAGGAATTTTAGACATAACTATTATATGTTGTAATTATTCTTCATGTTACTGTTAAAGGAAGCCTTTTATTTATTTCGTACAAAAGAACGCTTTAAACGCCAAATATACCTCACAAGTTGAGGTTTATAATTAAATTTTGTTCTGGTGAGAAGCCGTGACCAGTGGAGCTAATCCGTGTCGGGTAGAGACAGGTATCTACCTCAGTACAATGGAAGGTGGTTGCGCAGCTTCATGGATTGGTTGAGGTTAAACATTAACACCACTGGATGTCGGCTCAGTGGTCCAGTAGGTTAAGCGGTTGCGCGCGAGGCTGGAGGCCCTGGGTCCGAATCCCCCGAGCGGGATCGTGGATGCGCACTGCTGAGGAGTCCCACAATAAGAGGAAACGACCGTCCAGTGCTTCCAGGTTTTCACTGGTGGTCTAACATCAATCGGTTCATGATCCCAATCAAAAAAAGTAAATCTTGTACATTATTCACTAAAGAACTGCTATTTTAAACAAATCATTGTTTTGAGAACTTCGATTTTGAGCATATCTCCAATGGGAGATTTAGACGATTCGATAGACTTAACAGTTCTTAACTTTGATTCATATTGATTTGAATGCTCGCAGTAATTAAATCTGATCTAAATTGTGCTCTGTCCATTTGATCTGACAATAACAAAGATCAAGAAAGAGAAGTATTATACAAACAATTTAGGAGAAACGCATGATTCGATCGTTGAAATTATTGTTCCTTCAGCCTTTAAAGTGAACACACATTGATAATATGAAACCAAACTATGTTATGTAGTCTAACCTTATGTAAGTATCAAACATAGAGTAGAAGAAAAAAGGAATCAATTCTTAAAGAGATAGAAGTAGAAATCATTGAATCAGAGATTAGGCAGTTTGAACTTCACAAACGATTATTAAAATTACAACAGATACATCTTAACAAGGTGAATTTAACGCTTCAATAGATCTAACAACAAAAAAGAAAACAAAACACACATATATATACAACTGATAGCTCCTGGGTTCAAATCTCGCAGGAGGGGAGGGCGACATCATGGATACGCATTGCTGAGGAGTTTCATACTCAGGAACGATTTGAATGTGACCAACTTGGTCTCGTGCGCTGTTACGCGTATGAGGGCTGATGTCACTTCCCGGCTGCCCACACCATGGAAAAGTATTTCTGGAGGAACCTGAAAAGGTAGTTAGATTAATGTTGGCCTTAACGACCTGGGAGCGTGACTGCAGAGCCCACGAGGCAACTGCTTGAGGCCGGTCGCGCACGGTCTTTTCGTGGGAGGTTTTTAATGTATTAGCTCCGTTCTTCAAAGGGCCTTACCACCGGAGACGGAAATCCGTGAGGTACGGTGAGGTGTGATATTATTAGGGTCGACCTTTTCTAACCCCACCCCTCCTTGTGGGAAGGCAGCATCGCTGCAGATGTTGGTTGTCCGAGGGAAACACGTTACTGATATAACACCCTTCTACAGTCAACAGTACGACTTCGCCCTTAAACCTTGAATTGTTGCTTTTAGTCTTACCATTCTCAAATCGACCTGCCTGGCATCATAGAATCTACAGGAATATATGTTTCAGCCAATATAGCTCGGTTGGGTCATCACCATAGGCAAGCCCGACCACCGCGTCAAGGTAGCAGCTACGGTCGGGGAGTCTCAGGCTAAGATGAAACAATCATCTAGTGCTTCTAAATTTTCCATGATGATCTAACTTTTATTGACACATATGATTTCTATCAGAATGTGCTTTGTGGAGATTTTTAGAAATTTTCACAGATTGAACTCATGAGTCAGTTGAAGCTAGACCACCATTGAAAACCTGGAAGCACTGGACGGCCGTTTCGTCCTAGTATGGGACTCCTCAGCGGTGCGCATCCACGACCCCGCACCACCCGGGGCTCGAACCCAGGACCTACTGGCTTCGCGTGCGAGCACTTAACCATTAGACCACTGAGCCGGTATCCAACGGTGTTAATGTCTAACTTTTCAATGGTGGTCTAGCTTCAACTGACTCATGAGTTCAATCTGTGAAAATTTCTAAAAATCTCCACAAAACACATTCTGATAATACTAATCACCTGCTCACTAGTGACTGACTTCAGGAGACACTTCTGGAGTTCTAGTGAGAAGTCGTTACCAGTGGAGTTCAACCAGGTCTGTTGTGAGATAGGAACTCACTGAAGACAATGGTGTACGGTAGCGCAACTTCGTGGATTGGTTGAAGTTAGACATTAACACCGTTGGATGCTGGCTCAGTGGCCTAGTGGTTAAGTGCTCGCACGCGAAACCAATAGGTCCTGGGTTCGAACCTCGCGTGGTGCGGGATCGTGGATGCGCACTGCTGAGGAGTCCCGTAGCGGGACGAAACGGGGGTCCAGTGCTTCCAGGTTTTTCATGATGGTCTAGCTTCAATTGACTCATGAGTTCAATCTGTGAAAACATATGATTTCAACGATTAAAATTATTTAAAACATTTTCATAACTTACTTGATTCACTAAATAATCTATACGTGGTATTATATCTTGTAATCGACCAATAGGTCCTTGTACATCATTTGCCCATGTTTCAATATTTATTTGATATATTAATGAACGACGCCACCATGGTAATGCATATGGTAAATTTGGTATATTTGTTTTATATATATAAATAATTCCAATAATTATTCCAATTATAATTAATGGTATTAATACAATAGTTAAAATGATTAAAATAATAAACATTTTCATACTTAAACCTTTCGGTGGTTGAAATCTCCTAGATTTGCAAAAAGAGAAGTAAATGATAAATATAAATACATATAATGTAATTGTTATATTGATCAAACAAGATTTTATGAATATAAAGGACTACATGAATGTTCTATGGTTATTTCATTGACTCCTGTTACCTTTTGTCGAAGAGTACAGATTGACAATCAGCATTCCTTATACATTTATTATTTACTTATTTGAACACCTAAATATTGGTACAAGGAGGCACTAAATACATATGCGTCACATAAATTATTCTACTTGTGTGAGGGGTGTCCGAGTGGCCAAACAGAAGCAGATGGCTTTCATAGGTAGCCACATCCGGAGCCTTTGATTTAAAGGTCTGATCCACAAAGCAGTGGAGCAACGTCAAAAGATGCAGTCACATAGTAGCCGGTGACCAACGATTGGTTCATACGCAATTTGTTCTTTCAGGATACTGGAACCCATGTGCACGATTGGTTTGGAATGAGGGTTTTACAACTTCCCTAGGTGGACTCTCCATATCCACCAACCCAGTTAAAGTGTCGAACATTCGCTTTTCGTTTTCTCAATTTTGTAAACAACACCCCTGGTAGGAGAAGGCAGTGAGTAGGACTTCCCTGGTAGAGGCTATATATGCGTGGTCGTGTGAAAGCATTTGGAGAGGGAGAGCGGACTCTCCCTACTCTCTGCCGTACCAGAGTATATGAATAATTGCTATTTATTCTTTTCATGTTTACTTTCAATTCCCGACACAATGTGTCGGTCTTCCTTTTTTTCTGTTTCCAATAACAATTTCAAGTTAATGTTTGCTACATGATACAGTTTGGTGATTTATTCAATGTGTGTTCTATTCATTTCCAACGTCTTTTCTAATGTAAACTTATGACTTTCAATCTAATGAATAATGTTTTTACCTCTCATTATTTCATGATATACCTTGATAGTTATTCAGATACTGATCATGATTGTCCCACCTATAAACAGTTTGGATTCCATAAATCAATAATATTCCCCCTTATATGATAACTTGTGATGAGTACTTATTTACTTACACCTGTTAATCCTTGTGTGGAGGAACATAGCACGACCAGCAGCACCCTCTATCCAACCCTGTCATAGGCAATCATTTATACTTGTTTCCAAATGCTACTCATTCTTCTCATGTCTGCTTCCAATTCTTGGCACAGTGTGTTCTTCGGTCTTCCTCATTTCCGTTTCACCTCGTCATGCAGTTTGATGAGTACTTCAATGTGTGCCCTATTCACTTCCAACATCTTTTCCTATTCAACTGGAAGTTGGTTTGTTCTCTCACATAGTAGAAAGTTGTTGATGGTATCCAGTCATCGAACATTGAGTATTTTGCGTAGACAACTATTCATAAATGGCTGTACCGTTTTGATGATGGTTGTGGTAGTTCTCCAGATTTTAGCTCCGTACTATAGAACTAACTGTCTTGATGTTCATATTGAAACTTGTGACTTTGATATTGGTTGAAGATTGTTTTGAGTTGCATATATTCTTCAACTGTAGGAATGCTGTTATTTCATTGCCAATCCTCACCTTTACGTCTACAACGGATCCTCGACGTCCATCGGTGATACTGTTCAGGTATGTGAAAGATTCCACTTCTTCCAGAGTTTCTTCCTCAAGTGTGATTGGGTCTGTGTTCTCTGTGTTGTATTTGAGGATCTTGTTTTTCCTCTTGTGTATGTTGAGGCCTACTGATGCATAGGCCGCTGCTATACTGGTTGCCTTAATCTGCGTTTGTCGGTGTGTATGGTATAGAATGGCCAGGTTATTTGTGAAGTCCGAATCGTCTATTTGCATCCAAACTGTCCATTGTATTCCGTAATGTATACTAGCGATAAATTAAATGAATGCTCAAGATGGGATACGAACATATATGTAGTTTTGGAGTTACTGGTGACCTGTTTCAAGTTTAGTGCTCGAGTTTTCAATGATAATCGATACCAGTGAAGTTAAATCACGTTAGAAATGAGATATTCTATCTTTAATATTAACGAATGATCAGCAGACTAGATTGCAAAGTAATGAGTGTTAGAGGTATGGGCAATTCTAGTCTAATTCAAGATCATAACTCTATTGACAATCATTCGCAATCCATCTATGTTATTGGACAGCGATGTATATATCTTCAATAGCTTTTTAATGATAGAAGTGTTACTCATGGAAATGTAGTTTGTTCTCATCACTTTTAAGAAACATTGTAGTAACTTCACATGAAACAACATTCTCTATTTAAAATTGCCTCATCTGGATTTATAGGCCTGTCAACAGAAAGAATCTGTGATGATTAGGAGTATTTGAATTAAGATACAAACTAGGAACCCCAGAAGTAACTCAATTTAACCAACAAGAACGATATGAGCACGACTGAACATATTGTATTGGGTATTCGAAATCAGTCAGCTATCAAGTTTGTACAAACATCGCATCCGACACAGCTTAAATTGGAGTCTAAGTTTTTGTAATCGATTGTACGTCCTAATCATGTGTCTGTCCGACAATGTCAGTCAGTGGGAGAATAGGCAGAGACGACGAAGAGGCAACGACGGGTGTCCCTATCTTTTCGAGTCATTACTTTTCCGTTTAGTCTGACAGTGCACAAGTGACTGTCTAGGAGAGATAGGACTCAATGCTATACCGACACCAGCGAGACCACGGGAAACAGCATGAGGGCTTTCAGGTACACGAAGTCAGCAGTACGACTTCGCCCTCAGACCTTGAGTTGTTGCTTTTAGTCCTACCGTTCTCAAATTGACCTTCCTGGCATGGTAGAACCTACAGGAACATATGTTCCAGCCAATATAGCTTGGATGGGTCATCACAATAGGCAAGCTCGACCACCACGTCAAGGTAGCAGCTACGGTCGGGTGTTCGACAGTGTGTTGGATGTAGACTCTGTATTGTCTAGAATGTACGTTACTGGGTTCCAGTCTCACAGTGAACATCAATTCTGAGATGCAGGTACATCCAACCGACGAGTCCCAAATAGAACGAAAAGCACTTTGTCCTGGATTCCATTGCTAGCCGTCATTTATCTTTGCTTATAAAGCTCGTGACCTAAGGTAATATCGAAGTAATACGCACAGTATGCACACATATATCAATGAGAGACTGATCAATTGTAGTTCTAAACATGAATGGGAAGATACAAGTAAAGAATACCAAGCGGAATTGAAACATCTATAACTTGTTTTAAAATCTGCGAACAGAAAAATACTCAGTGACAGAATGATCAAATAAGCTAATTATTCCGGTGTGTCTAATACTCGCTAACTAGAGAGAGACGTCCAGGTTCAGAAGAGGGAAAATCTGTTCCGAAAACAGCCAGAAGTACATATGTATATAGCATAAATGTGTCCTTGGGAAGCGTGATCAATGACATTCAACGTCCTCTCAAGTGGGAAATACGATAGGAAGGTGAAAATGAGCTCTTTTTGGCACGAAAACTGATAGCGGGACGTAGATTGGATTAAAGCATGATTAATGCACGATTGCTCTGGTGCACGCTGGTTGGCTAATTCTTGCCCAATCAGCGTTAGTCGAGACCTGAGGAATACTCTAGAAATGCTTTCATGTAAAATGTATAAACATACTAACGTTTTTCCTATTATACTTCTTACTTCCATCTTATCTTGTTATTCGGAATATAATCTCTTTCCTGTTCAACCGTGTTTTGGTTTGGGGACTTGTCGAGTGAACTGGTGTCCAAGAATACGAAACAATAGGAATAGCTGGGTTATAATGTTGCTAAACATTAGTTCACTATGATATTAGAGATAATTTAATCAATATATAAATACATGAAATTTCAACTAGACAGTAGTTTGTATGATTACATAAAACAATACGATATATGTATAGAGTTGTCAGTGAAAAGAGTTTTTGAAGAAGAGCTATTGAAACTTATACTTGAGAAGATGAAAAAATGGAACAGTTTGATGTTCAACAATCAATCGAATAAAATACAAATTAGTACTGTAGTTTTACTTCAACCTGATTAGATGATATAAAAAAATAACGCCAAGTTTTCAAACTAAACAGAATTAAGGCCTTCCAAACGACAATCAAAATCCCTTAGTTTGAATTAAGATATAAGATCCTTCATTGCTTCTACAAAAGACCATGTGTATAGACTAGGTTTTTGCAATTGTGATACCTTCTATTTTATAGAGTCGTCTCGTCATATAATGTTTTGTGTCACAGAACATCTAAGCTTTGTGGATTAGGCCTTTAGATCAATGGCTTGGGGTGTGGCTTCCTAAGAAAACCACCTACTTCTGTTTGGGCACCCAGGCAGTATCCCAGCCCTCACATTAATCGAATGATTTATGTGGCGTATATCCATTTGATGCCTCCTTGTACCAATATTTATGTGTTTAAATAAGTAATTAAATAAATTGTGAGTAATATCATTTAGTCTCTTTAGAGACAATTCATTATAGATTCATAAATATGTCAGTCATTCAGTCAATCAGTCAGAAACAACGTAGAAATTCGTACGTACGTACGTACATTAGTCCAATTTGCCATACCACATTAGCACACATAGAATTGTCCATTCAAATCATACAGTGGTAGCGGTTACTTACTTACGCCTGTTACTCCCAATGGAACATAGGCCACCGACCAGCATTCTCCAATCGACTCTGTCCTGGGCCTTCCTTTCTAGTTCCATCCAATTCTTGTTCAGTTTTCTCATGTCAATTTCCATTTCTCGGCGTAATGTGTTCTTTGGTCTTCCTCTTTTCCTTTGGCCTTGAGGATTCCAGGTGAGGGCTTGTCTTGTGACGCAGTTGGGTGCTTTCCTCAATGTGTGTCCTATCCACTTCCAGTGCTTCTTCTTGATTTCTTTCTCTGCTGGGATCTGGTTTGTTCTCTCACAGTAGGTTGTTGCTAATAATGTCCGGCCAACGGATCTGAAGTCTTTTGCGTAGACCACTGTTAATAAACACTTGTATGTTCTGGATGATGGCTTTCGTAGTTCTCCAGGTTTCTGCCCCATACAGTAGAACTGTCTTGACATTTGTATTGAAAATCCTGACCTTGGTGTTGGTTGACAGTTGTTTTGAGTTCCAGATGTTCTTCAGTTGTAAATATGCTGCTCTTGCTTTACCGATCCGCGCTTTCATATCTGCATCAGATCCACCCTGTTCATCAATGATGCTGCCCAGATATGTAAAGGTTTTTACATCTTCCAAATCTTCTCCGTCAATTGTGATTGGATTGGTGCATGCTGTGTTGTATCGGAGAATCCTGCTTTTCCCTTTATGTATATTGAGACCTACTGCTGCTGAGGCTGCTGCCACACTGTTCGTCTTCTCCTGCATTTGTTGTTGCGTTTGGGATAGAAGAGCCATAGCGGTAGAGTTAGTAAGAGTATAGGCAGTAATCGGAAACATTAGGGTTTGAAGATGTTATTCAATGAGTATAATCCATTGACATAAATTTGGAGAGAGAAAAACTAAGAGACATGAAAAATTCAGAAGGTTAGAATTTGGTAGATCACAAAGTGTAGATGCATCTGTGCCATTACAATCTATTTTGAACCATGACCAATAGATAGGCTTTTTGAATCAACCATCAATTGTGATCATCTCCTGAATCCTAGCCAGATAGTCTACATGTATCAACATGACTCAATTCATCTATCAATAACTTCATAAATTTGTCCTATGTGATCCATAAATATCAATATATAAGTATCAACAAAAAACATAACACTAATAAGCAATCATGAATAGTAGCCAGCAGTGAAATCCAGAATGCGCGTTTCGTCCTATTTGGGACACGTCAGCTGGACTGATCAATTGTAGTCTTAAACCTCAATGGGAAGATACAAGCTAAACAATACCAAGTGAATTTAAATTCACCCCATTGCACAAGCATGTGGCTATCAGGACTCAATAGATGAGTGAATAACGTGATGGCGTTTGCAAGCGAATTGTACTGGGTTCGAGTCCCAGAGGGAATATCAACTCTGAGATGCAGGTACATCGAGCTGACGAGCCCCAAATAGAACGAAACACGCGTCAAACTGGATTCCACTGCTAGCCACTATCCATCATTGCTTACAAAAAAGCTTATGAATGAAGGCAATATCGAGGCAATACACATAAGATGCACATATGCCAATAATAGACTGATCAATTGATCAGTTTTAAAACCTCAATGGGAAAATACAAGTCAAATAATACCAAGTGAAAAAGAAAACACTAATCAATTATAATAATCAATAAATTATTCAATTAATACTTTTCAATAATTAAAAATCAATTACTTTTGATTTTTTTTATTTAATATAGTTTGTTTTAATAATGCCATTTTATTAATAACTGCTCCATCATCCATAACTACATTATGTTTTTGTACAAATCCAATTAATTCTGGTTCCATATTATATAAATGATTAGTTGAATTATAACATTTTTTCATTTGTTCATAATTAATTTCATCAGTAGTATATCCATTGATTAAATTATTTCTTTCTATATGATCATTATGATCATGTACATGATCATGATCTCGATCATCATCATTATTATAATCATTACAATTTCCTGAATAATCTAAATTTTCATGTGTGATAGACATTATACAATATGTAAATTATCAAATAGATACCATATTTTAAATATTGTACGACATATCCAGATATATATATATATATATATAATTTGTTTTAATCAATGACTCAATGTATAAAAAACAAGAATACTTCACTCTGATTGGTTAATACATTTATCAAGGTCAGCCCGTTCCTATAACTACAGTTGTGTATTGACGACCTTTGAAGAAAAAAAATTATGATCGATAATGAGTCATGTATGTTAGTGAATAAAGGTCAATTATCGATTAATATCTTCAATAAATGTGGCATAAATAAAAATGGTATCATTATATATGGAAGAATAGAAGGAAACCTTTGAAACAAAAGATGTGATTTTATAACAAAGATAAGATATATTACTTATTTCTTGTTAGTTAGTAAGTAATATAATATTTAGGTGATTGATTAATTCAATGATTCTAGTGTTCTCATACAGAATCACTTGGAAATTGTTCCTTCTAATCATTCTGTGTTCTTGTTCACCTCTCTTTGATTTGCTCAACTGTCTACTGTCAGGTATTTCATTTTCCATTGATGATACATACGACTTATATCTATCCATATCAATAGCATACAATATACCAATTGTCTCAGACTATGTTATTTCTTCATTATCATTCTAATCATTCTGTGTTCTTATTCACCTCTCTTCGATTTTCTCAACCATCTACTGTCAGGTATTCCATTTTCGATCGATCATTGATATCTACAATTTGTACCATTGATTTGTAACTGATTAATTTCACGATCAGTACAAAATCATCTTGGATATAGGGAATTAAATGAAACGTCTATAGATCGAATCCTATCAGTAAACAAGGTGATTTTAAACGATAATCAAATTGAGAACAACAAACCAAGAGACAACCACTGTTTTATATGCAGATTTATGATGATGATGTATCTGCATAGTGATTAATCTTTTGAAAGCTTGGTAACTATTACACAGAAACCATCATTTACTGTTTAGCTTTCAACGAAATAAAGGAAAGTCACAATAGGCAGTAAAAAAGTAATTTGTTGACTCAATAATACATTGGTAATAGTTGGATTCATAAAGCTAGACCACCTTGGAAAACCTGGAAGTACTAGACGACTGTTTCATCCTACTATGGGACTCTTCAGCAGTGTACATTCATTCATGAATTCAATTACTAAATTACTACAGTCTCCATAAAACCCATTTCTGAAAATATTATTTGTCAACTGACTAATGATTTATTAGTTCTACAGAGAAACTAAGAAAGAAATACTAACATGCAATTCTAATTCCTGTTAATACTTCTATCCTACGGGTGTATAACATGGTATTAACCAATGTTATACCGATTCATTCTTGACGGAATAAAATGACACAGTTTAGTCCTAGTTTAGATTGATATCGTGAACAGATCGATGTTAGACCATCACCGGAAACCTGTAAACACTGGACGGCCTTTTCATCCTAGTATGGAACTACTCAGCAGTGTTCATGTACGATCTCGTATGTAGGACTCGAAACCAAGACATTCGGGCTAGCGTGCGAGCGCTTAGTTTCTAGACCACTGAGCGGTGTTTACGTCTAACTTCAATAAATTCACTCAATCGCGCGACCGTCCATCATTGTCTTCATTGAGTAATTGACTTACAACAGACCTTGGTTGAACTCCACTATTCACGGCTTCTGACTAGAACTCCGGGAAATCCATCTTGAAGCTAGTCACTAATGAACACATGATAATTATCAGTATAGGGTTATGGAGATTGTTGAGTTTAGTTAGACATCACTAACGCGTAATTCTAATTTCTCTTAATCATTCTATCCTGCAGGTGTATAACGTGATAGAGTTTAGTATTTCATAATTGTTGGTATGAGATTGATGTGAACAGACAAGTAAAGAAGCCATAACAAACAATGAAAGCTATTTTTAGGGGAAGTTATTCCACTTAATTCAAAGCTTGTAAAACACTAACATTTATGTTTGTCCCTAATCTATTCTACAAATCATAAGCTTTCGTTTGATGTATGTTTCACTGTCATAGACTCTTCTATTCCAAAGCTATTGTAGTTTAAACGTAGTCTTTTGTGCTTTATTTTTTCTACTCTAATCACCAGTTTTGAACATAATTGTATTTGTATCAGAAGGGGTTTTGTAGAGATTGTAGTAATTCTGGTCTAGTGGTTAAAGGCTCGCGCGCGAACCTGATAGGTCTTGGGTTCGAATCTCATGAGGCGAGGTCGTGAATGTACTCTGCTGAGGAGTCCCACAATAGGATGAAACGGTCGTCCAGTGCTTCCAGGTTTTCCATAGTTGTCTAGCTTTAATTGACTCATGATCTCAACTATTGAAATAATTGTATTTTTTTAAATTGTTTATGCATTATGGTCATGTTAGTTATCTATTTAGTATAACATATATGTAAGAGAACAATATTGTTTTCCATTAGATTCTTATCAGTTCAATAAAGGCAGTTTATGAGATGGGTTATCCACAAGGTTTCCTGAAGAAACATTTGCTGTGTAACAAACAAGAAAATAGCGATATTAACCTTAGCAGGAAACCTCTCTTCCTGAAATTGCAATTGAATGGAGATGTAACTCGTGATGTACTACGTGATAGACTGACTAGAGCAGTGAAGAGAACGTTTAATGCAGCCAACTTCTGTCTATCCTATTCGATCCAATTTATGGTGATTCCTTAACTAAAAGATAAGTTACCTGGTTATGCCAATTCTATGTGTATCTACGAATTCAAGTGCTCCAATGGAGAAAACTATATTGGGCGCACTACCAAACAACTGAACCAAAGAATTAGTGAACATCCCCCAGTTTTGTGGTTAGGAAAAGTACTGTTAAAACAATACGCACACTTGATTGATAGCGGTCATGTAATAGACAGAAATAAGTCATTTAAAGTGATTGATTGATTGAAGTGATTGATTCAAGCCTTTATTATTCTTATCATAATTGGTACACCTATCATCACACTACTAATTTGTACTTTTCACTTTAAAACACTAATATTTGAACGACGAATATCCTTTACAATCAATTCTCTTCAGGTTCTGCAATTCAATAATCCAAAAACTGAGCAGGTTAATGGCAAAGTACATCGTTTAAAGCATATGAATTTACGATTGTTAAACAAAATACAATAAAAGATGGATAGTGACTAGCAGTGGAATCCAGGATAAAGCGCGTTTCATCCTATTTAGGACTCGTCAGCTAGATGTACCTGTCACATATCAGAGTTAATATCCAATCCGAGAGTCACTCGAAACCAGTACCGTTCGCTTCAAACGCCATCACGTTATTCACTTAGCTACTGAATCCTGATAGCTATTTGCTTGTGTATTGGGGTGAAGTTTAAATTCGTTTGGTGTTGTTTTACTTGTATTTTCCCATTGTTATTTAAGACTGCAATTGATCAGTCTCATGTTGGAATATGTGCATCATGTGAGGATTGGCTCGATATAGCCTTAAGTCATAAGCTTTTTAAGCAAAGATGGATAGTGGAGTGAGTATCAACTCTGAGGAGTAGATACATCCAGTTGACGAGTCCCAAATAGGACGAAACGCGCGTCAAACTGGATTCCACTGCTAGTCACCATCCATCTTTGCTTATAATACTTGTGACTTAAGGCTATATCAAGGCAATCTGCACAAGATGCACATATGCCAATAAGAGATTGATCAATTGAGGTCCTAAAGAGATCAATGGGAAGATTCAATCAAACAATGCCAAGTGAATTTAAGATACAATAAAATTGTTAATGTTGATATAATTCATATAGAATGTTAACTTAAATCTGCATGTATGTGAAGTGAAAATGTTATGATCCATGATCCGAATAAATATGGGTCAGATAGGGTGAGAGGAACAATAGTAGAATGAATCCAAAGTAAATGAATCATAGCGGGGGATTGATAATGATGTTTAACCAATAGTAATAATAATAATAATAATAATATAAAGGTATGGGAATGACGATAACAGAGACAATTATAGTTGACTACGAAAGGTCGTAAGTACAATAGTCAAATTAGGTCATTCAATAGATAAGATTACTATTGAATAATTGACCTTGAGACTGAACAGGGGAAGAGGAGTAGTTGAAGATATTTCGTCCGTACACTTAGCTCCGGTTTCTTCATCAGGATAGTTACTGCTTTAGCCGTTTAAAGGACTTGAAATGTGACAAGTTTTTGGCAAAAAATTACTGACTTTATAAATAATTGAAAAAGGATTGGTTTATACTGGGATTATGACCAGTTTGTACTAGATAAGCCAATATCGAGCTGTTCACTTTCTTCATCAAACCTTTGTTTAACCACGCTGAGAGGTGTTTACGAGCACGAAAATGTAAATTCCAAGAACTTTGACCAATATAACTCGCTCCACAGGTGCAGTCGAACTGATAAATACAAAATGACGTGGTCATTCTAGGTAATCCATCTTTTAACTTCGGTGTAACTATTGGTTGTGTAAAAAACACCGATCGTAGTTCTCCGGCGTTGAGTATTTTTTGGATTGTTCTGAATTATCTTTGAGTTAATATTTCGCTAGCCACATTCCCTCTGAATTGTAGGCGCATGAATACGGATTTTGAGATGGAGGAGAAGATTTGTAGCTCAGGTGGATGATTTTGGTGGAGTTTTGTTCTCTGAGCTGGATGGTTTGGTCATGGAGCTTTCATCGTTCTTCTGAACGACATCATCAGCACAAACTTCAGATAGAAGTGAAGTGTTCGAATTTCTCCATATGTGTTTCACAGCTTGTTCTGTGCACCTCGATGTTGATCATGGAGAAATTCGAACACTTCACTTCTATCTGAAGTTGGTGCTGATGATGTCGTTCAGAAGAACGATGAAAGCTCCATGACCAAACCATCCAGCTCAGAGAACAAAATTCCACCAGAATACGGATTTCTTCATCGTCTGTATTTTGCCTGTTTTCACCTTCGTGATCATATATTTAATTACAAATTTTCTACGGTAACCGTTCTCCCTAAGAGTATCATACAATTTGTTAAGCTCATTTTCAACTATATCCACAGAACATATAGTGCGTATACAGTAACTAAGGGTTTTGATCAAGTTTCGTTTTTACTGTAGAGGTACAAAACTAAGGAAATGTGTATACTGCCCAGTCCATGTACTTTTTCTATTTAAGTTCCTTTTTAATGATCCATCCACTC